ACAGTAAAGCATTCAAAAACAAAGCAGCTGAAGAAAAGAACATCAAATTAATAATTCATGCTCAGAAATTGAGCTACAAGTTCAAATAAGTTAAAAAACTATATCGGCAGCCGCCCACAAGCGGAAAATAACAGCTGCCGAAATACGTACAGAAGCAAAAAAATAAACTGTTTTGTACGACAAGGCAAGCTGAAGCAAAAAACAAACAAGGCAAAAATTCAGAAAGCGGCAAGTCTAAAGTTGAGCGCATGATGAACCGCAAGATTCTGAAGACGACTGCCCGAGTTCCTATGCTTCAGCCTGAGGATCAGACTGATCAGCATTGTTGGGCCCCATGGTGGTCTCATCCCCAGCAGCAGAAGAAGCAGGCTTTGCACTCTGCCGAGCCTCCCTTTCCCTCTGTTCAGCCTCCAACTCCATTCTCCCAGCTTCTTCTTCGGCTTCCTCAGCCTTAAGGATTTCAGCTTCGACAGGAGTTGCATACTTCATATGAGGGTCTTCGAGATCCTGGACCCATTCAGCACATTTGGACTAGTCCAACTTCGGCTCAGCATGAAGGCAGACTCTTCGGCACACTCTGAACCCGTTTCTGAAACCCATTTCATATTCTTCCTGGGTATAGACACGGACTTTGAGTAGAGCCTCAGCATCAGCCAACTTCTTCTTTGTCTCCTCCAAGTCTTCCTTGGATTTCTTCAGCTCATCGGCGAGCTTGGAGGAGGAACCTTTCAGCTCATTCAGCTCCTGCTGAACTTGGGAAGCCTCTGTCTGAGCCTGGGCCACTTCTTCCTTTTTAGCCATCAGCTTATCCTCAGCCTCTTGGAGCTTAGCTCTCTGAGTTTCAGCAGCAGCAGCAGCCTCTGAGAGTTGGACATCCCCGGCTTGGAGCAGCTCTTCAGCAGCCATTCTGCTGGCTTCAAGAGCTTCTAGCCGTTGCTGCACTTCAGCTTGTGCAGCAGCTCCTTCCTGAATTCGGCTCTCAATGGCAGCCTTGAATTTGGAGACGTCCTCTCCCATGTGCTCTTGGAGGAATTTTTCCCCTTCCATCAGTGGGGGAAAAACTTCCTTCTCCATAGCGTCGCAGAAGGTTTTGAGGGCTTCAGCAGCTTTTTTCTCATATTCTTCACCCTTCTGCTGCTTCTCTTCAGCTGCTGCTTGCTTCAGCTTAGCAAGCTTTAACTCCTCTTCGGCTACCTTTTTGTCGTGCTCGGCAGCGTCCACCCTATCTTGTAGGGTATCTATCAGCTCTACAGTGAGAGTCTGATTGTGCACGAACTGAAAACAGGAGCACAAGTTAAAATAAAAAATAATAATAATAATGATAATTGAAGAGCTGAATTTTAAAGGAGATAAAGGCAAGGAAAATCACCTGCATCATCAGCAGTTGGTTAGACCTGGCTGGGTCAGGAACTGATCTGCTGGATTCGCCCATCCCAGCAGTGGCCTTCAGCGACCAGATTCTTGCCCTATCTACTTCGGACATGCCAGCAAAATCGCCGAAGTAGGCTGCAGCACCTTCTCGGTTCTGACCCCATATGAGGTCCCAGATGTGATCTGGGATTGGAATTCGGGGGGCCGAGAAACCCATTTCTCCAGATTGCAGAGTCTGGAAGGAAGGAAAGGATGACGATGGAGCTTCTTTAACTTTGGATGGCTCAGCATCCTCCTTCTTCTCAGAAGAGTCAATTATTATGACTTCTTCTTCTTCAGGGGTGAGGATGAAGGCCTCAACCTCTCTTGCAATGTCTGCCGTGAAACCCTCAGCACTGGGCATCACGGCATCCTCATTCTTGTGCTCAGCAGCACTCTCTTGAACTTCTTCTTGGACCCCTCCCTTAGGTTCGGGAGTTTTCTGATCCACCTCCATCCCGGGAGGTGGCGGAGGGGTCTTTGGAGGTGATTGAGGTGGTGGCCGGGGAACCCTCGGCGATCCATTACCTTCCTCGGGTTCCCTTATTTCGACGCCGATGGTCATCGGCCTCCGCTGAAAGTCATGGGGGCCGATGATGGCCATTCTTCGGCGCCTTTTCTGAAGCGGCTGCTCGTCCATGTCTGAGTATGAGGACTCTTCTTGTATCTGGTCTTCGGGATGAACAGGGGCTTTCCCTTCTCTGTGTCTATTACTCTCTTCAGACTGTAAAAGACAGGGGGGGAGGAAGAATGTGAGTAAAAAAAAAAAAAAAAAAAAACAAACAGAAACAGACAAAATTAAGTCTGAAAGCTCACCGAGGTCTTCAGCAAAGCCTCGTCTTCTTCAGCTGCCCTAGCTGCAGCTTCTTCTTCAGCAGCCCTGGAGGACCCTTCTCCTCCTTCACAAGTTTCAATAACCCGTGCAACCTCTTCGGCCGTACGGGCAGCTTCAGCTTCTTCGTCCAGCAGCTGAAACCAGGGATCTCTCTTCTTCCACCAAGGCTTCTGCCTCTGATACAGAGCAACAGCCTCAATTTGGAAGTGGGAAGAGTCTAGATGAACTTCTCTATGCCTCGGTTCAGTGATAGACGGGGCCCGATCAGTTACAACTCGTTCTCGGTTGACGCCAAGACGAGCGTAGTTAATGCTAACGTTGGTCTCGTCCCGCTCTGAAAAAGAAAAGGGGAAAGGTCAGTTCAGTTAGGTTGGCACAGCATAAAAAGCGAAGTGAAAGAGGAGAAAAAGAGATAATTAAAAGGCCTCGGCCCCAGCCGAAGAAGCTTACCATCCTTAAACTTTCGGCTGAGGCCGACAGCTGCTAGCATGTTCTCTTGGAAAACATAATGCGTATCGGGGAGCCAAGTCTCCGGGATATGCTGCATTCGGCCGCTGCCCCCCCGGTTCGGCAGCTTGCCGAAGATATTCTGTTGATTAAGGTTCGAAGAAAAAAGTCGAAAAAAGGGGAAGGAGTTCGAATTCGAAGAAAAATAAACTAAAACCAAAGGAATTTACCTTAATCTGAAGCGAAAGTTGCCGATTTACGAATTGGTAGTAGCGAGTCTCAGTTTCTAAGCTTAATGCTCGGGGAATTTGCGAAGTTTTGATGCGGGTTCTTGGGTTCTCTCGAGAATTCTGGGTTTGTGTTGGTGAATAAGTGAGGAGAGATGACGCGCCTCTAAGTATATCTCCAGAAATGGGAATACGGGGAGTCCGCGTTTCAATTTCTCTTAAATACCCCACTAAGTAACCGTTAAACACACGACCTTGCGATTAAACTGCCCATTATCCGTCCAACTTTCACAATTATCCGCCTTAACTGTTGTTATCTCATTAATTACGGTTTAATTACGGTTTAAATTCAAATTTTTGGATTAATTAAATCATTCACTTCCCTCCTTTTCTGATTAAATCAAACCCGACCCGTCATCCTTCCAAATCGGGTCTGGGGGGCAAGTTGTTTGGGTCCAATTTAGTCCAATTGGGCCTAGGCATTAAATGATCCAATTAAAAGCCCAAGGTCAAGGTTCATCTCTCCAATTGTGCTAAAGTCAAAGATCAGTCCTCAAGGCAAGCCAATTGGGCTAAGGCCCAACTTCTCCATATATGCAAAGGTATAAAAGCCATCAATATTACATTTGTACATTCATTCAAGCAAAGCCTCAAGCAATTAATTCTCTTGCATAGTGTTCTCTTTCTACACACTGTACTGACTTTAGCATCGGAGGGGCCTTCCTCGGCAACACCCCCGAGGCTAGTTTACGTGTGTTTACTGTGCAGGAAACCTTCGGCCCAACATCACTTGGACCGAATTCAGTCTTCTCCACTTCATCGGACCTTCGACAAGGTCCCATTGTTTTCACCCGAAACAACATGTATTTGTTATACAGTTACGATAGGAAAGGCTAGAGTAAATGAAAAACATTGGGGTATCTTCATCACATAACTTATAAATGGCAGAATTTGTAAAGGAGAAAGTATACAGCTTCACATCCAATATCAAGAGAAATTAACAAAAGTAAATCAAAGCCAATTAAAATCTTGAACATTACAGGAGAACAGAACAAAATTATACGGTGTAAATTTTTTAGGGAAAAAAAAAACAAAAAAAAAACAGAGGAAATATGAAGTACTTAATACTTTAGAGAATCTTCACAATACCTTCCACTATTCCAAACTCTAATGATAAAACAATAAATTGAATTCACATGATCCACAAATAATGGCAATATACACGTCGGACATACGTGTGATTTTGTTAATGAGTAATTCACAACGCACATGACAGTTGACATTTACTATGGAATACAGGGTATAGGTTATGATTGTGCTCAATTCACCATATCAACTGTTGGCTGATACTCTGTATGATCTAATTTTCTAATTCAACTAAACTTCATCTCAATTTATAAAAAAACATAAAGGTGTTATATTTGTATCAATGTGTATTTTTTAAATAAGAAATTTTCATAATTTTTATGGCGAAATCTAATATATTTAGCTTAAATAGTCCGGTCTGATCATAAATTAAGATACAAGTACAGCTTATTTTTTGAGTTATTGAACGGGTAAGTGAATTCAACAGTAACTAAAGTATTACTCCGTATTAGTAACCCTATCCAAAAAAAATGCATTAATAGTTACTGGGTGTCTGGATAATAAGGCAATCATTCCCAGACTGGCTTCTAATAATTACCAAATCTTCCCAGTCAGCATGAAATGGAAAATAGTTACACTATAAAAGTACTATAAAAATAACCTAATATTGGTAATAAAGTGCACTTAATATATGAAGTATTAAAATTCCAATCCCGGATAACTTTAGTGATAAAACGAGTGGTTAAGATTTACACATAAAAATGGCCACTAAAAATAATTTTTAAAAACTCACTAATTAAAACATGTACTTCTATAATAATTTCGGATCCCCATATTTTATGATAAGGTTGAAAGTAGATGCGTAGAAGCTGACTTGGAAAAGCTAAGCTGACTAATCTCGATTTTAAGCGCTTTTTTCTAAATAGTTTATACGATGGGCCCCAACTTGGCAAATAAAGGTAGGATTCACCTTATAAATAGTGCGCTTAAATCATCATTTTTCCTTCATCTTTCTTTCTTCATCCTCAGAACTCATTTTTCACAACCATCAAAAATGACTTTAACTCTACGTTCTACAAATTCTTTCCTTAAGGGTCTCAGAAGCTTTAAAGCTTCTGAAGAATTCCCGAATCTCGTATGTATTGCAAGAATCAGACCGTCGTATCGTGTTCGGGCAATCAGTTCCTTACAGGCAGAGCATTTTACGCCTGAGAAGATGGTGTTAGAAGGCAGGTGTAGTGATAAATGGGAAAAACTACATGAATTGACAGGTCATCTTCACACGAATGATTCGAAGGTGCCGGTGTTTGTGATGCTTCCTTTAGACACTATATCTACTGGTGGAAGCTTAAACAAGCCACGGGCAATGAATGCCAGTCTGATGGCGCTAAAAACTGCTGGTGTTGAAGGAGTAATGGTAGACGCATGGTGGGGGTTGGTCGAAAAGGACGGACCTATGAAGTATAATTGGGATGGGTATGTTGAGCTAGTGCAGATGGTCCAAAGGCATGGTCTAAAGCTACAAGTAGTTATGTCTTTCCATCAATGCGGAGGAAATGTGGGCGACTCCTGCAGGTATGGAAATACTAATAATTATTGTGTTTCATTAGCTGTTCTTTTAGGATCATAGTAGATTACAGAACTAAATCGTCTTAGACTAAAATTTTTGCAAATTTCAACTTGCAGTATTCCTTTACCCCCATGGGTACTAGAAGAAATCGACAATAACCCTGACCTTGTCTACACAGACAAATCAGGCAGGAGGAATCCAGAGTATATCTCCTTAGGCTGCGATTCGCTGCCAGTGCTCAAAGGAAGAACACCCATTCAGGTCTACTCTGACTACATGAGGAGCTTCCGTGAGAAATTCAAAGATTATCTGGGCAAAGTTATTGTGGTAAGACTCAAAGCTACCTAGCACTTTCCCCCAAATCTATAAATAATTCAAATCACTAATTGGCTTTATATGACCTAAAACCACCAATTAACATATTCTGGAAACAAAATGGGTACAGATCCCATCTATCAGGCTATCAGTTAGGAAAACAATATTTCTGTTCTGTTTTTATCTATCTTAATATGTAAATATATTCAGATAAAAGGATGATCCAATTGGACAGATAGGTAACAGAAGAATAAGTATTATACTAAATCATTAAAATATCAAATAAAGATAATTATTTTGTATAATATAAACAATGCAATACATGCCAAATATGCCAATATATGTAATCAAAAAGAGACAGTGGCAGAGAGATTGGAGGATTGCAAGAAGCGTTTGAAATCCAAAAATAATTGGGTCAGAAAAACCATATCTTGAATTCTTGATAATAACCAGAAATATCTTCTGCTAGCTTTACTAATACAACTTCCATGCTTATTGCAGGAAATTCAAGTAGGGATGGGACCATGTGGAGAGCTAAGATATCCATCTTACCCAGAAAGCAATGGCACTTGGAGATTTCCAGGGATTGGAGAGTTTCAGTGTTATGACAAGGTAAAATCTTAGACCGAGCCCTAAACCTACTGTAATGTTTCGGACAATGATTAACGTGCCAATAGAATCTTTCGGACAATGGACTCAACTTCGTTTTTCTTATATTCAAACAGTATATGAAAGCATCATTGCAAGCAGCAGCTGAGGCATTTGGACAGCAAGAATGGGGAAGAAATGGGCCGCATGATTCAGGCCAGTACCACCAGTATCCTGAAGACACAGGATTCTTTCGTAGAGAAGGAACATGGAAAACACCATATGGACAGTTCTTCCTAGAGTGGTACAGTGCAAAACTAATTGAGCATGGTGAGAGCATTCTAGGAGCTGCTCATGGAATATTTAAGGATACTGGGGCAAAACTGTCCGGGAAAGTAGCAGGAATCCATTGGCATTACAAAACCAGATCACATGCCGCTGAATTAACAGCTGGATATTATAATACAAGAGATCGAAATGGCTACCTACCAATAGCTAGAATGTTTGCGAAGTATGAAGTCGTACTCAACTTTACATGCATGGAAATGAAGGATGGGGAGCAACCAGATCATGCAAACTGTTCTCCTGAAGGTCTAGTGCAGCAAGTAAAATTGGCAACTCAAACAGCTGGAGCTGACCTTGCTGGTGAAAATGCACTGGAGAGATATGATACAAGTGCATTTGGGCAAGTTTTAGCAACCAGCAAGTCTCAAACGGGAAGTGGATTGAGTGCTTTTACATATTTAAGGATGAATAAAAGATTATTTGAAGGAGATAATTGGAGGCATTTGGTAGAGTTTGTGAAGAGCATGTCTGAAGGTGGTCAAAACGAGAGACACTCAGCAAAAGACTTAAGCAGGACAGGCCTTTATGTAGGATTTTTGAAAGAGAAGAGCATTCAGAAAAATGAGCAAGCTTTAGTATAAATTTTACAAGCACTGCAATAATTATTGGTGCAAACTAGCATACTCTTATACGATGGAAGGGTACATACTGATCAAATAGTATATAGAGCATGAATTATACAAGATATGCATGTCAATTACAAGGCTATTTCGTAAGATAAATAAGAGTGAGGCCTTATACATCCTAGCTTCAAGTAGTATAGAGCACGATTTTTACAATGTATGCATGTCAATTTCAAGGCAATTTCAAGAGATAAATAAGAGTAAAGCCTTATACATCCTAGCTTTCTTAGATAGCAGAAGACAATAGAAACACAATGAACTGAGATGTCCTCAAAATAAAAACGACCTAAGAGTCTTCCATTGCCATGGCCATCCCGGCTATCAAAAGCAACCCAGTTAAATTATGCACTCAGAGATCAAATAAAACTAACTTCAGACCCATCTTTTCCAAGAGACTTGACACCAATCATCAACTTTTAGCCTAAAGTAACTTGACACTCCCCCTGAATAAGTTGTACCAGGGAGACTGCCTATCCTTTATACTTCCCTTAAATACTAGAATCTGCAGAGCTTAATTTGAATCAGCCTCTTGAAAATGCCAAGCATTTTGGGAATCAAACAGATGTATTTGTTGAGCCAATCTACAACTAGCGAAATGTAAATGCTTTTCAATTAAACAAACAGCTAAAGCATTTAAAGGACTAGTCTAAGATCATACAACACTTATCATGCCCCCATAGTTCAGGCTTCCCCCAAAATTGGAAGTTACAAACAAGTTAACACGGTATCAACTATATTCAACCATGAGTTAGGACCATTCCATGATTGACAAAAACAAGAAAAGAAAAAACTTCATCGCTTAAAACCTTGCCCAACTACATAAATCCCAAAGAAAAAACTGTCAAACAAAACCATGCATGGTCCTGGTTTTCTATGTGCACCAACTGATTGCCAACGGCAGCAGCCTTGAGCGATGTTCCAACAGACCAACAACCTTTACTAGGACATTATTTTTCCAAACCAAAGATGGATCTCATGACTAGTATGCCATATTGTACACTAAGCAACTGATTGAAACATGTCAAACCACATCAAAATAATCCATAAAACTACTGAAAAAAATATACTTATTAACTCGATCAATCGAGCAGAAACGAAAACTTTTTATCGATTCCATAATTAAGTTCTAAGTACTCCATGTATCCGAAGAAACATCAAAGCCAATGATAACAATAACAAACACAATCACACATATAATGAGGAGAAACAATCAAAAATTAACTCAGCACCAACAAATAAGGAGCTGATAACTTGAAATTAAAATCAGCAACTAGTGAATTAATTCATCAAAGCATTAGTTTTACAAAAACAACAACTACAAAGAGGAGAGAGAAAATACACAATCAAGATTGAGGAGGAGTAGGCGAAGAGGCGGAATTGGAATTAGAGAGGCGAAGATCATCAATGAGACTACCAAGCTCTTTCCGAGCTGATTCTCTTCCAAACATGAAGCCATACCTAGTTAATTCCATCAAATTTTCAGCAAGAATTGATCGAAAATTGAATTGGCAGCCATTGATGAAGAAATTGGAGGAGAGAGAAAGTAGAAATTACCAGAAGGATACGGCGGAGAAGAGGCCGGCGGTTGCGACGGTGTGGAGAAGAGTGAATTTTCTCTCCATCATTGATTGCTTCAAGTAGACTGAAATGGAGAAAGTTGGGGTTTTGTGATTTGTGAGGGTTTAGAAATGGCGGGTTTTGGGTCAACAATTAGGATTATTGATGCAATTTTGCCTATTTGTAAACACCATTTAGGTATATTAGTTGAGCCATAATCGAGTTAAGCATAAATACGCGACTTGACATTTCGTATCTTTCACCTTTAAGAACCTTCTACTTTTTTTTCACCTTTAACGACCTAACATTTAATTTCAGGCCATAATTAATTAAAATTAACCCAAGTATAGTTTAGCTTTGGTTAACTGACATTAGGTAATTAAGACGGAGCTGACGTGGCATGGGGAAGCGCGCCAAATGTTCAGAGGAAGTCAAACCCCCAATATTTTATTCATTTCCACACTATACCTTGACACCCTTTTATTTTTTCTCCCCTATTCTATAACAAAATTGTTTATATAACCCTTTTATAGTTTCGAACTACATTATTTAAGTGAGTTAATTATATTAATTATTCTATCGTTCTTTGTATTTTGATCAGTGGTGATTACTCAACTTTTTGCTGCCGTGTGTGCCGTTTTGTTGTGCTGCTTGTGTTTGTGGTCATGTCTTTTTCTTATGGTGGCCCTGCGACGATCTATTTAGGAATTTGTTCTTAATGGTGAGCAGTCAAGTTTTTCTAAACAGGTTGATCAAGTGATTGTAGCTAAAGGAGCTCAAGTGTTTCAATTAGTCTATTATAACGAGTTTGTAAAGTTGTATAAATAACTCACTTAGTTTATTGAGTTGTAATAATTGGGATTTTGTAAGCCTTAACACTTGACAAGTTGTAAAGTGTGGCGGTGATACCTTTGATTTAATTGTATATGCTTCCGCAATTTATTTAAAGGTTGTTTATTTTCCTTTAATTCTTATTTATTATTAGTTAATAAATCGGGGGTGTTACAAAATGGTATCAGAACCAGGTTGTGTAATGTAGTTTCGAACTACATTGTTTAACTGAGTTAATTATATTAATTATTCTACTGTTCTTTGAATTTTGATCAGTGGTGATTACTCATCTTTTAGCTGATATGTGTTGTTTTGTTGTGCTACTTGTGTTTGTGGTCATGTCTTTTTCTTATGGTGGCCCTGCGACGATCTATTTTGGAATTTGTCCTTAATGGTGAGCAATCAAGTTTGTCTAAACAGGTTGATCAAGTGATCGTAGCTAAAGGAGTTCAACTGTTTCGATTAATTTGTTATAACAAGTTTGTAAAGTTGTATAAATAGCTCGCAACCCAAAAATAATACTCTGCATTAATAACCCTAAAACCTCAATAAGACAATACTCTCTATAGCAACAACAATAAAAACCCTAAAAAATAATAATAACACGATCAATCATATGCAACAATAATAGCAAGACAATTAAATCTAATCAAATCATTATATTTTTATACATTTATCATACATATAAACTCAAACATATGAATAGCAAATTATAATATAAAACAATTATACAAACAACTCTAAAGTACATCCGTGTGATTACCTTCCCGATAAAATAATTCCACAGTCTACAACCTCGACAAAAGTGAATCGCAAAGTCCTAGCCGTAGTAATTGGTCAGCAGCATGCAATGATGGTGGTAATGAAATTATATATGGGGGTATGTTTGCTACTCGCATGATTTGATTATAGTGATGGGTTGACTTGGATTGTATTAAATCCAATTGTTGATTTGCATTGTAAAGAAATTGGTGCAAAAGTACAATAAACTCACTGAAAGAAATTTGGGGAAATTGGTTTAGCTATAAAAGATTAATTGGAGTGGAGGCAAAGCTGAAATTAATTAGGGAATAAGGAGTATTTATAGTTTCGTAAACTACCAGAGTCTTATAAGATATAAATTAAGGTTTAAAACTTTTCAAAGTATAAAAATAAAACTATGTAGATTAGGAAAGTTAATTAATAATTAAAAATTACTTATTTTATCTATGAAAATTTATTTATAAACCATAAAATATTCGGGTATTATAATTTACCCTCTTTAAAACAAGTTTCAACTTCGAAACTTAAAATAGAAAAAATTTAGGGTATTACAATCTATCCTCCTTAAAACAAGTTTCATCCTCGAAACTTAAAGTTAAAATAAAAATTCAGGATATTACAATCTATCCTCCTTAAAACAAGTTTCGTCCCCTTAAAACAATCTATCCTCCTTAAAACAATCTATCCTCCTTAAAACAATTTATTTTACAATCTATCCTCCTTAAAACAAGTTTCGTCCCCGAAACTTAAAATAGAAAAATAACTTGTAAATTTGAGAGAAAATAAAAACTAAACTAAACTTTCTTTATAAAATATATAGATAGAGTATATATATTAAGAGTATTACAAAAACGCACCGTCGTTGGAGGTAAAAGCAAGGCGATTACTCACAACTTCAAGCGATTTTTAGTTGATTTTCAGAATTTAGCAAGGTACATACATAATCCCCTAATTTCGATTGTTTTTTTTTTTTGTTTTTATGAGAAATTTTTTCTAGGTTAATGTTCAAGTTTAGGGTTTTGTGATGATCATGTGAAATTTTTTGTCAAATTGTTTGTTTTTTGTTAGGAAACAAGTTGTTAATGTGCGTATCGTCTTTAGATTATTAAATTTTGTTTAAATTTGTTGTGAATTGATGAATTTAAACCCTGGAAATTTGATTAAATAAGAGTAAAACAGGGAGGCAATATAGTGGTGGTTTGTAAATGGTTTGTTGGGGTATTTCATCCCAAGTCCCACATGGAAGAAATAAGGAAGAGAGAACTTCCTTATAAGTGAGTGCATACTCCTAATAGTATGAGGCCTTATGGGAAGGTGTCCAAAAACAAATCCGTGCGGACTAGGCCCAAAGTGAACAATATCATACTAATGTAGAGTGGACTGTGCGTGCGACCCATCAAGATGGATGACTTGGGCCCAACAAGTGGTATCAGAGCCGACGACCCAAGCATTATGTGTGGAACGGTTCCCTGAAATATGTGACCTCGCGATTGTAGTACCTTGCGTCGAAAGTCCTCTTGATATTGTGGCTCAGGCAGCGTGTCCTATGGTGATAGCGGCGGTGCAAGATAGTTTTGCTGGAGGGGAGACCATGAGTTATGTGGTCCTTAGTCTGAGGGGAGGTTTGTTGAGGGTAGTTCATCCCAAGTCCTACACGGAAGAAATAAGAAAGAGAGGATTTCCTTATAAGTGAATGCATACTCCTAATAGTATGAGACTTTTTGGGAAGGTGCCCAAAAACAAATCCATGCGGGCTAGGCCCAAAGCGGAAAATATCATACTAATGTAGAGTGGAGTGTGCGTGCGACCCGTCAAGGTGGATGACCTGGGCCCAACATGGTTTGATGCCGACTGTTGGTATTTTTTTTCGAAGGAAAATAATGGCTTCCCTTGATGAACTTCACCCAGTCCTCTCCATGACTTAGATTTTGTAATTTCATGTTTTCCCTCGACTTAGAGACCCAAGGGACAGTGAGTGTGTAGCAAGTGTTCTAAAAGGATTTTAGTTGTTTAGGAAACCCTTTTCACCACAGCCTAGTTGCACCCATATAATATAATTAACTGATACATTTCTTCTGCAATTTTTTTTTTTTTTTTTTTTTTCAGATAACAAGTGCAGGTGAAAGAATTGGAGGTATAGGATGGCTATGCTGAAGAACTTTTTTTGTAAAGAACAATCAAGTAACGGGTAGTTTTTTTGAATTATTCAAAACGATTTTCATGTACCAATTAAATAGCAAGGACCTAAGTTTTTGATATATTTAATGTAATGAAGGACTTAAGTTTTTGTTTGACAGGACTTAACATTTTGGCTGAACTTAGGTCAGTTAAGTGGCCTGAGATTTAAGTCCAAGTCCTTAAAGGTGGAAAAAAAGTGGGAGGTTCTCAAAGGTGAAAAATACCAAATGTGAGGTCCCGTATTTATGCTTAACTCAGCCATAATCATACTTCCTTTGTTCTTTGTTCTTTTGTACTTGACCTGTTTCTTTTATCACGCTTACCAATGTAAAATTTTAACGATCAATAACTTTAATTCTTCTTAAGTAAAAATTATAAAAGTTATATATTATGATAATACTTATTGAGACGAATTTAAAAAGAGCTCATGAATATGTTTTTCCTTACATATTATTCACAAAAGATGGTCAAAGGAGAAATGGTGAATAACGTAAAAGTCAAAGCGGATCAAGTAAAAAAGAACGAAGGAAGTAATTCATAAGGCTTGTCTTGTCTTAGCGAAAGGATTTGTTCTCGCGACTTAGGTTGTAGGATCGTTTTATGAAGTAAAATTGAGTTGAAAAGTGGTCAGATCATATCTCAATTTTCTATCTAACAAGCTTGTTATTGCAGAATCTATTAATTGAGGAGCCCACATTAATGAAAAAATTGTTAATTTATTTTCAAAAATGTCATGTGAGAAACTTGTATTTACCCTTTAAAAATTAGACATTAAATTTGATGATAACTTCTGAACTTAGAGATCAAAGTCCTTAAAATTCGACTTAAAGTTACAAAGTTACAATGGAGCAAAATAATTGAGGAGATGGCCTATTCCTATACGTGTATGCTACCATGTTGTTTGACTTGTAATCTAAAATTCTGAAGGATATAGATGGAGGGGAATTAGGTGACGTATGTGATGGTGTGGCAGTAATGGACCATGATGTAAGCCAGAAGGCGGAAGATAATGCATTCTTTATGACTGCTGCCGACTACAGTCACACCATACAAGGTCAACAGCACATTCATTTTGACCATATACTACTGTACCACCATTGTAGATTGAGTACTTGGTAAACATAGTAGATTAGCTTTGAATTTGTGGGTAATTAGAGGATTGTGTTATTTGCGCCTAATCTCTTCCTAATCAATAATAACTACGAATTCAACCACTTTGACTTTGTATTTACTCTTTCTACCTCAAATTTGCAATTTAGAGTTACATAGGTTTAGGCTCGTGGGGTAATGGGAAGAAGGACATGGGCTACATGGCTATAATAAGGGAATCTCCATCCCTCGAGAACCGTAGCTAGGTCATGACATGAAACTCAAAATTAGAGTTGCACGTGTTAGACTCTTGGAAGAAAGGTAACTGAATACTCACTCTTTAAGAACCGCAACAAGGTGGTAATGAGGTAAAACACCTACTAACTACACCAAATACTGCTTGGTACAATTTAGTTACATTGTATAAATCTTAAAATATTTGGAAATGTTAATTTATATTTTGAGCTGATTATACTCCCTTTAACTCCTTTTATAAGTCGAACAACTTCTCATCTCTATCGAACTCAAAAATATAAGAGAGAACTCATGATGTGTTAGTCATTGTTAAATTCTAAAAAAAATAAAAAATAAAAAATATGGTTTATACATATTACGATAATGGGAGGCGTTTTGGCAAAGAAAGCATTATATTATTTGATAGACTCAACTATTTTAAATCACATAAAATAAAGTGTAATCTTAAAATGAATGATTTGAATCATACTAAAATGACTTTTGTACTAGTTATACAACTTTTGACAAAAATAGTTGGTCTTCCAAGCAGTGGTGCAATCATCAAAATGCTTCAAATGTGAAATGAAAATCTATTATTATTATTAACCAAAAGTTCTTTGAGATTTTTTTTCCTTTTAATAAAAGCAGTCTTACAATAATAGCATAATTACTTTGATATTTTAATAATAGTATAATCATAGTGACACATAATTGTTTGACAATTTTGTAATAACTCTATTCAACTAACGACTAGCTACCTAACAAGGGTAAAATAAAAAAAAGTTTGCATTTTCCATTTTTTCTTGCTCATCTTGCTCCAAAAAAAGGATAAATCCGTCATTTAGCTAATTATTAGTTTAGCTCCCATACATTGTGGGGGATTACTTATAAGTTATTACAAAGTATAATACTGTATATACATAGATCACGAAGTATTATATTGTATATACAAGAATATATTCTCAGAAAACTTGACAAAAAAAAGATGTCATATCATTTTTAAGGAATAGGAAGTATATTTTATGAAAAACTAATCATGATATTTCTATAACATTTGTATCACTAATTTCGTAAAAAAAAAAAAATTAAAGAAAACTAAAGACACGCTAGGAGATAACATGTGTCATTGTTGGTGTGTCATTTAGTATATAGTTATTGATTAGGTAGCTAATATGCTTAGCAATGACTCGGTAACTATAATTAATAAATAATAAGAATAAGGTGAGTGGAACAAAATTTCTAAGTTGTGCTTATTGTAAGAAGCAATATCTCATGGACGATAAACAAATGCTAACAACATAATAAATTTGATTATATACAGACACAAATGCTGCAATGAAGCAGAAAATCAAGGGAAATGATCTGATTCATTACAAACTCTCCGCAAAATAAGCTTAAATGAATCAAAATCGAATCAAAATCAAATGTACTCACTTAATCATTCAACCTAGATTTTTATTTTCTACTACAAATGACTGATAAATACATAATATATGGTATTTGCATCATATTGTAAGACTTACAGCATGATCATGCTTTACTTCTCTACTAAATTGAATCGTAATTTGTTGATAATTCCTCTATTTAGCTTTACTTGCTTGTGGGGTGTTTACTCTAGAAGAGCTTTCCTCTGATTCTAAGACAGCCCCTTTCAACACCTCTATAATTTCACTCATATCGGGTCGTTCTTCTGCTGTCTTGACCAAACATCTATCTGCTAACTTAGCTATTTTTCGTGCGGTGCTTAAGGGATACTGATTTCGAAGGCGGAAGTCCATCATCATGCTAAACATCTTACTGTCAGCTGGAAACTGTTTCACCCAGTCTAACAGTTTCTGCTCTGAGACTGGACGATTCCTCTCTATGGCTCGTCTACCAGTTAAGATCTCGTAAAGTACCACCCCAAAGCTGTAAATGTCACTCTTTTGCTTTAGATGGCCCGTGTCAACATATTCCGGGGCTGCATATCCAAATGTTCCCACTGGCTGAAAGTTAATAAGCAAGACATATCTTCAGTTCAATTAAGCCCAAAATTTTTAATTTCATCATATATTTGAAGTAAACACTTTCAAGTTTCAATATTCTCAAGGTTTCCATGTAATCTTCCTGAATTCGCCCATAATACAGGCCAGCAAGTTTGATCCGCTCTAATTACCAAGGAAAGTTGGCTAATAATGTAGAACTCAGTGGATAAATCTACACCAATGTACTAAATTAACATTGTAGCAAAAAAACTAGACAATATTTACTTTAAAGGTTGGGGCTGCAGCACACAAGACTTCTTCTGTTTGACAATTAGATTAAATAGAATAATACGAATGTTTAGGCATATCAATAATAGAACTCACCGCTGTTGACACATGAGTAGCATCCCCACTCGGCCCTTCTCTAGCCATCCCGAAGTCAGATAACTTTGCGTTCATATGCTGATCCAAAAGCACATTCGAAGACTTAAAGTCTCTGAATATCACCTGAACAACAACAAAAAAAAAAGTTAGTGATTTAGTCCATCAATAATTGACCAGTAACACATGGCTTTTTCAGCTGAGTGTGCCCATACTGCGGATAACATGACAGTAGAACACCACATTGTATGGGTTCCTAGTGATTTTCAGTAAAAGGTATTAAAAATGAAAGACCGCGCATCAACCTCCATGATATTGTGTTTTCAAGCTGAATGAGTACATATATCTTAGCTTATACCACAACAATTCATTCATACAAATTACTTGTATAATCTTGATCATCAATCAGTAAGTTCAAAAGGTTTAATTATTCAGATGTCTTAAGTAATATCACATTATGCACTAGAACAAGCGGCTCATTAGGCTTTCTCAAAGTTGTATGCTGATTGAGACTGATAAATTTACAGACAGCACTAATAAAATCTATTGATTTGACTCGGCCATTCAGGAAACATGATCAGTTAAATGCTGCTACTCTAAGACACATAACAATGTAACACTGCAGTATTGCACCAGCAGAAGGATATCTCACCTGAACTTCGATTCCATCGTGCAGATAACTCAATCCTTTGGCCGCATCCAACATTATCTTTAACCTTCTTATCCATGGCAGAGCAGGAAAGTTTTTCCCAAACAAATGGTGTTCCAAACTTTTATTCTGCATATATTCATACACTAATAGCCTCTGAATTCCTCTTTCTCCATCTACAGAACAATATCCCAAAAGCTTTACCAGCTTAGGATGATCAACAACGCCGAGGAATTGAACTTCCGCAAGAAATTCTTTGTGGCCCTACATTGGATCACCAACAAAATTCAAGACCAGAAAAAGAGCTACCATTCTATGAGCATTGTCAAACGATCACAAGATCGAAATTCTGCCTCGAAACAAATCCAACATGATTTTAATATAAGTCTAGCAAGCAAATAAAGCATACAAAATCAGATAGAGGGCATTCAAAGATAGAACAAAACAACAAAGAAATCGACACACAGATTTACGTGGTTCACTAACAATGCGACGACAACAAAAAAAGGTTGTATTCAGTGAATACCTGCATGCCATATCTGTTAAGCTTCTTAATAGCAACCACAATAGGATCACCCTTGCCATTTAAAGGCTTAATTGTTCCTTTATAAACACTCCCAAAACCACCCTCACCAACTTTTAACAACCTGTTGAAATCATTTGTAGCTTCTCTAAGCTCATTATAAGTAAAAACCCTCAAATTATGTTGCTTCTCCCTATACAATTCTGGTATACTTCTTGATGATGAGGCTGAATTCGCCGATTTTGATACTCGATTATTTGATGCATTTGAAGGATTTTGATTAGGAGCTGAATTTGATTGCTTCTTTTCTTTACCCTTCCTCTTGAATGAGGTGAAACAATTCATCTTTGAAAATTTTAGAAATAACCTCTCAATTAACACAATTTTCATATAATTGTTGATTGAACTTTTTTACATCACGCCCATGTTTTAAAAAAAAATTGTTGAGAAAAATTAAATATTGAGAAAAAAAAATTTAGAAAACCAGTTCAGAAATAATGAAAATTGAATAAAAACCAGTTGAAATTTTGTCCAAAATTTATGAGAAAATAACAAAACCCAGATCAAAGTAAATAGAAGCAATTTCTGGCACTAAAAAAATATAAGTTGAAGCCAAAGAAATGAAAAAATCCAATAAATTTAGCTTAATTTTAGTATGATACAACCAAAGTACAAAATTTTGAGGAGATTGAGGAAGCCCCAAGTAAGAAATTGGTCAAAAAAAATGTGGGAAAAACATAACCCACATGAAATTAAACAAGTAAAAGGAAAAAAAAAATTGTGTAATAAACTATATTTAAAGTTCTACAAGAAGAAATTTCTGGGAGTTCAAAAGAAAACAAGGTGGAAAGCTCTGAAAAAATATGAAAGGAGAGAATTTTTTTGTCTAAGAAAACTGTCACACCTTTATTTTTATTTTTTATTTTTAGTGATGTTGGTCCTAATCTTAATGTAACAAAAATGATATCCAATTAAATGAAATTACATATAATTTAATAAGATTACCAAATGTGAAAGCAGCTGAAAAATTCCACGATGAAGAAGGAAGGAAACAGGGGAAAGAGAGAGGATAGAAGAAAGTAAAACCGTTGATGACGATTTGTTGAATAAAGAGGAAGAAAATACCAAGATATAAACAATTTTATTTGTGTTTTTTTGGGTCTATTTCACAACTGTTTCTGAGATCAATCAAATTCATTCAACTTTTAAGTTTTTTTTTTTTAGACAACTTTTTAAGGTTTTAGGTAGCCTTTTTAGTTTTTACTATCTGATCAATTATCAAACACATACATTTTGAAAAGGTAATAAAATCAGTAACGGTTTAGAATTTACGGAGTATTCAATTGAACCGCGTTCTACATGAAAATTGACTTGAAATAATTCGACCGCTAGACCATGTCTTGTTACATTTAAGTTCTCTTTTGTTTTTTCTTTGATCATTTTTCTCTTCATTTGCAACAAAGCAAAATACAAAAAAAAAAAAAAAAAAAAAAAAAAAAAAGAGGATATTTAAACTTAATAAAACATTTTATTTTATTAAACTGAAACTTTTTTTTTTCTTCTCAAAGACAACTTTTTTTTTTAGATAAAGATAACACACTCAATGTACTATAATTAATTACTACTCCTTCCGTTTCGTAATAATTGCAACACTTTCTTTTAATGTCCGTTTCATAATAATTGCAATACTTCCTAATTTGACAAGGATCTTATTTTATTTATTATCTCTCTTACTAACCCCACTCTCATAAATATTAATTTTTTCTCTCTCCTACCAACCCCACTAACTCCATTTTTTTTTATCATTTCTCTCTCAAACTAACTACACTTTTTTATTAAAGCCTACATGCCTAATTGCCTACTCTATATTTTCTTAAACTATATGCACACCCAACCGTTGCGATTAATACGAAACGGAAGGATTACCTCAAATTCCCGGCTATGAGCTAAGTACTCCGTACTGTAGTAGTATGAGTAGGTTTTGAAAAGTAAACCGTGGTAATTGGGATCTTCTTCACCAATATTTCACGTGTGGACCCAAAAGTTTTTATGTTGATTGTCGTTGTCTAAGTCATAATTCTACTAATGGTCTTTATCAAGAGCAAGATCGCCAAGATGGATCATTTTTTTTTATTTTTATTTTTTGTGTCCGTTATTAATTACAGTATTTATTTATTTTGTAGGTGTATTTGATGTTATTTTCGCACTTGTTTTCAGTCGCTCATCAAATAGTCCATCAATCCAACATCACTACTTCACTAGGGAAAATAGTCTTCGCTGCATCACAAAACTCATTTGTTTTCAATTACTTGACTGAAATACTCAAAGTCAAGTTTTACTCGAAAATATATATTCTAATCTGATTTAAGGCTGTCTTACTCGATAAAATTAAAATCGTCTACGATTTCTTAACATGCTAATTGAAAATAGACACATATTTGAGAGTGATGGATAGATTAAATGGTTAGAGTTTCATTTCCAATCTTAAGAGATCATAGGATCGATTCTCATCATCTATCCTTGTGGCTCTCTAAACACCGGAAAAAAAAAAAAAAAAAATTCACCCGATTAGAATGTCCCAACAATGGTAGATTCGGAATATGTTTCAAAGGATTTAAATCAACTAGAATTAACTTATTCCCTCTATTGACACACTTTAACTTTTTTAAATATTCATTTGCTAACTTTAATTAAGTTAGTTGTAATAATTTTGTTATGTTGCTATTAATAAAAGAGTATAATTTTGTTACATGCTATTAGTATTTTATAAAGCTATCCCTTTTATTAGGCTTTAAAAAAATTAAAATCCAATTACTGTAATATACGGAGTGTTTTTTTTTTTATTTTTGAGGAAAATATTATTTTTATTAATTAGCACATAACATATGTCAATTAATTAAAATTCTAAAATATCAAATTACTGTTATGAAATATTTGTGGATATCCATTATCCTCCTTGTATCATTCCGGAATATTCTAGATCTAGGGTTTATTGTTATCTAAGCAAACCCTAGTTATATTGTATATATATATATCCGTACTCTATGGAATAACAAGTTGATCGATTCTCTCTCCATCTCTCATATTTTTCCCTAATTAAAATTGATGTCCCAAAAGAACAACATTAGTTGCTAATGAACCTAAAGCACGCCTGAAGCGTGGTAGCCGTAGCCGAGCCTAATAGATTACAAAGATAAGAATATTCAAACAGGAAAAGAACAATTATTGACAATAGCAAATTTGAGGAAGTGATACATTTTGATAAACCTTTATAAGAGATTATATTTAGTAAAATGGATATGTACCATGATTATATAGAGTACTCTAGAAGAGTATAGAATTATCCAACAAGCTTAGCATGTATCAAGGTTATAGTCAAAGCTCCAGCAGAGTATAAATTTTTTTGATCAAGTATTAGTTGATTGTCTTGCCAATTATATAAAGAAACACATTTTGGTGTTCTAATATCACATCATACTCATGGTCATGCATAAAGTAATTTAAGCAAAGTGGTCACTAGTGTTGGAATACTGACTAGAGTTCAAATTTAGAGAAGTGACTGGATGTGATAATTAAATTAGGCCATCCGGGTTTAATAATTACCCGTTATAGAAACTTGAAGTTTCATTTAATAATGTGCTGACGCTCTCTCAATGTTGCATATATGAAATGAGTTAAATGTCAAGTCATAACATTGAGATTAAGCTATTATTGAATAGTGATTTATAATAATTTGTATTAATGAAAATGTCAAGAGTAATGGGTGACCAGAAGTTCACCAGAATCTCACCAAATACTCTATTTAAATCTTTAAAGATCTCGAAGATGACTACCTAGTAGAATTCCAAGCAAGTGATTTATGCTTGTATAATAATTCTTTTGATTGAGGCTATTATATGTCAGCACATAAGAAATTGGAAAAGAAAGAAAAACGTACAACTGCACGACACATGTCTCCCCATTGACATTGATCTCCAGAAGAGAACATATTATGAAATGTGTAACAATAAATACACATGCAATGTAAAGTTAATGAAGAAATGATTCTTCATTGAAATTGTTCTCTAGAAGAGATAAAACTTGTTTAATACAAATCTTCTAAGATAATTATTTTGATTGTGATCCTCCCGATGAAAAGAATTTTAATTTATATACTAAGTTGGTATAAAATTAGACGCCCCTATAAATAAGATATTTTACCAACTTAGGGGGAGAAGAAATAGCAAAAGTTGGAAAAATCGGAAAATATAATTGATGATCCCTATAAAGGTAGTTTGAAAAGTTATATGCCAACTTTTGTCTATATATTATCAAGATATGTTGCACATTTATGATTTGATTTGTATTTAGTTATGACTCATGTTGCATAGCGTTGAAAATACATTTTGGTCATATATGTGTATACATTGAGATAAAATCTTGCCAATTATACTTGAATTACTACACCTGAAGTGTGGGTTGTATGATCGGTTCCAAAATGAAGATATGATATGTGGCAAGATAGTGCAGTTAACACTTTTAATAGTGTAATAGTATATAAATACCATAGTGTATAAATACCAAAAGGTGGTATAGATATCTGAATTGTTACAATAGATGGCCTATGATGTAAGAAAGTTATGATGGTACCAATAAGAAATGTATTCAGATATCATAGTAAAACAACATGCGAAATGTACGTTAAAGGAATATTATGATACTGGTACACAAGGGAACCGATAAATAATATGCATATGTATGATAGAATGGACTAGTGAATAAGGGATCTGAAATATATATGTCCATTTTGATGTCGACATAATGATAATGATCAAAAGTTTATTATGGATCAGAAGTCCAATGAAATATGGATTTTAAATCCACACTGTACAGTGTCTTGCATTATTTTGAGTACTATGTATGTTCATATGCATGTATGAGTCATAGATTAACGAATTGTTCATTACATATGTCAGTAGTTGTTAGATGCATTACTTATTGTATATTTTGCTTAATATGTTATCATGTTTTATATATCTCATATTCCATGCATTAGTTTCTATACAATATTTGTGGTGTATGTGCTTGTTCATTCAAAGTATAGTAAAGCATATTTACAACTTTGATGGAAAATTAGAAAAACATATTTATATTCCAACGGGCTTATAATTATGATGAAATTATCTATGACTTTGTTCTAATATTATTTATGAATCATGTAAGAGAAGTTCCCGAAGAACGTATATGCAACGTATTTATAGCCCTACAAATTTTATATCTTGAATATTGCAATTATTATCAAACTCTTGAAAATTCTATGTGACTACATCATTGACTTCTCAACTTGAAATTTGAGCATATGAAAGTTAGTGAGATTTGCTTTTCTATTTGCAAGAGAGCTATCGTGTCAATTATGAAACATTTAGGGATATTAATGGAATACTTATGCGTGAGAATTTTTTTCTTATGGTCCAGAAGAACCATGATTAGCGTATCTAAATACATGTGTTATATTATAATTCAGATGAAATTGAAGAACGACATTAATAATATCAAGTTTTGTTATCAAATTATTATTAATGAATGTTTGATCAAATAATGATCATCAATTTCTATTATTCACGACCTCTAGAAGAAGGCCTAACCGCATAAGTTTAACTTTTAAAGTAATTTTATTCAAACTGAGTTTGGAATGATGTAGAGATAAATACATGTATGGTGAAATGAAGACACTTCACACGTTCACTTGAAGACTTGAATATGCAATTTAAGTTGAGGAGGATCGAAGACCAATGAATGATATTTTACTACATATTAGAAGATATCCAACTATATTGGATTCATTGTTGCGGCACTAGAAGATCTTAGGTTATGTATTCATCAGGGGGAGAAATACGCGCTGCACTCTTTTTCCCTTGACCATGGTTTTATCCCACATTGGGTTTTCCTGGTAAGGTTTTTAATGAGGCGGCATCTCGAGCGTATTACGAAGAATGTTGTACTCTTTTTCCTTCATTAGGTTTTTATCCCACAGGGTTTTCCTAATAAGGTTTTAACGAGGCACACTCTTCGATAATGGACATCCAAGGGGGAGCGTTATGAAATATTTGTGGATATCCATTATCCTCCTTGTATCATTCCGGAATATTCTAGATCTAGGGTTTATTGTTATCTAAGCAAACCCTAGTTATATTGTATATATATATATATATATCCGTACTCTATGGAATAACAAGCTGATCGATTCTCTCTCCATCTCTCATATTTTTCCCTTATTTTATAACAATTACAACATTTTTTCTTATTTATGTTTTACAAGTACATGTTAATTAACAGTTCAACACTAACTTATATATGGTTTTTTTTTTTTGTTTTTTTTTTAAAAAAAAAAAGGAAAATACAACAAATGAGTTTTTTTATGAGAAAATAAACTACTTCGTGTATGAACTTTCTTACTAGTCTAAAAGGTCATACATTACCACTAATATAAAATGGATAAAGTATATTTATATGTATAATTTGCACCAAAATAAATTACTAGTAATTGTTTTACAGATGGGACTCTACCTATAAGGCTATTACCCATGACCTAAAGCCCTAAAGCACAACTTTCTACTTGTTAACAACTACAGTAAGCAAATTACTCTTTTTCTAGATCGGCATGACCTAATCACATGATCCATTATGACATCACCAACACCTTTCACCGCATCACACCAATTATTGTATAGTTAAACAACGTTGTTAATCATTTTAATTATTGTTAATCATGTTACTTAGTTCAAGTTGTGCATTTCTTTATCTCCTTAAACAGCTAAAAAGATAAAAGGAACATAGACCAAGAGTCCAAGACCATGTGAGGCGTTAACAAGTTAATATAATACTCATATAATTCACCACATTAAAGAGCCCAAAATTTCTAATACTTACTTATGTATCCCCGCCATCCCTTAATGATTACCCGTAGTCCTATAGTCCAGTTTACACTACTAAAATTTGGCAGAAGTAGTACACACGGGAAGAGAAAGAGAGAGCAAATGGGTATGCATACCAACAAAGAAAGTACGGGACAAATTCAAAGAAAAACTTCAAAATGGTATATAAAGCCATCTTTTAGGATCGGAAGAAGTACTAGTAATAATTTAGATTTAAACAAATAGTTTTAAAACAAAAACTCATTAAATTAATTGTAGTCTCTCATGGGTACATAAAATCCGACAAAAGTCCAAACAACAGAAAGGTGAAAGTATAAAAAAAAAAGTTGTGGGGAAGAAAGAATTTAGGTTTGATTATACAAAGGTTGCGAGTCATGTGTGAACGTGCAGTTTAGTCATTTGGAAATGACAAACTTTTACGCTGATTCGAACATAGGATTACAGGAATAATTAATATTTTGACAGCATCACTACACTGAACCCTACAAAAGAAGTTGTATCACTTGTATGCTGGAATATATTCTTGGCAAGTTGTGATGTAAGGCTCCAAATCAAATATATTACAAAGGCCAAAGTACCGCCAATATGAACATATTCTTGACTAAATTACTCGGGTTCCGAAAAGACATTGGTGCAGTCAAAGTCTTTCACACGGCTCACAAGATAGCAAAAGACCAAAGTAAGAATCCTAGGAAGCATCTTCTTTGGTAGGAACTTCAGTTTGGAAATGAAAGCAGTCTTCGTGATTGAGCCGGTGGCGCTAATCCAGGAATATCTCGGATGTCTTTGTTGTGTGGGTTTATAATCTGAAAACAATTTATGTAACCAATGTAAGTTCACACGTAAAATGTCTTAAGTTGGAAATATGTATGAACATGATACAAAGATATCCCTATACAGAAGGCAAGGAAGCAGATAGAAAACCAGTAAGATTTAAAATGTACATAACCTTAGAATGGATAATAGAAAGATTTTTTTTAATAAGGCTATTGAATGTGAGTGCGTGACTGCGTGTTGGGGGGGGGGTCATCTATGCTCCGGTGCTCCCAGACTAACACAAGAGTTCACATGAAAGCTACTACCCCGGTTCTGGTATGTGCAACCACAAGATTGCAAACTGCTGCCACCATATTTTTTTCCAAACTACCATTATCCCCTACTAAGTCCTAAACTCTCTCTCTGACTCTAAGCTCGGTAATTTGAGGAAACTATTATTTTAAAAGGGTGAAGTAACCAAAAGCACTTAGTAACAGCCCCTACGCAACATGATCCATTCTTATGCACAAATACATTAAATAAATCAGAGCTAGTACTATATACAAGTTGATTGCCAATTTAATTCAGTTAAAGGAATCATCAAACCTCAACAATCACATAATAAATTCAATATGGGGAAGGTAACAACTGTAACAAAGACATTTTTGTCCCCAAACTTCAGCCATAATAAAGCTCAAAGTCAAATTGATGATAGCTAAAAGCAAACTAACAAAAGCAAAGAGCAAAGTTTGTAAACACTAATAAAGATCCAGATAACAGGGAAAGCAATTTAAGGTTTCTTTCATTCAGATCAAAATCAGAGGGGGTATAGCATGTAAAGATTTGTGCTGAGGAAGAGGTAAAGGAGCACGATAACCTACATTGCTTGGATAGACCAGCAAGGGACAGACTGCTTTTGTCACTATATAGTACGGGATCATGATAAGGCCAATGCTAAGTAGGGTTTTCATCGCGCGCGCGCGCGCACACACACACACACACACGCACACACATATATATAAATTAAAAGTCTATTGGAGTGCTAATTAAACCCCAGAAGTGGGTGGGGTAATTCAATTAATTTTCTCATTATTGGTCGGCCACATCGGCACATCCTCAGAATTTGAACTGGGGTTCTGGGAAGACTGAAGATTATTATATTCTTCTTTTCAAAAACTGTTACGGCCTATTCCTTGCATATCTCTATTTTGAAATACTTCCGAATATGATAATTTTGAAATCTGACAAGTAAAAACCAGAAACTGTTTCTGGTTTACACATTGAAACATGGGAAAACGACAGGAAAGAAAATTTGCAGTTAAGATCCTATGCTACGTAGTTAAAGATCTAAAAATCAAGTTGTAATTTTAGTTTTCTTTCTAAAGAACTTCAATCCAAGTAACAACTTCACTCTAAATCATCTTTTTGGAATAAAGACGAAATCATCACCATGATTAACATTATATAGGATATTAGTAGCCAACCTTCGCAATGATGATGGCTATGACTCCAAGCACTATGAGGAAAAGCAAGGCCATGATACATTTATCAGTAGCAACCTGTAGAAAGTTGGAAGGGTAAGTAGCCATAACGCATCCAACATAATCAGTCAAAGATATAAGGTGAGAGTTGAAGAGACCTGTCGACCGATTTCCTTGACTAGCTTCGAAGCTTTCTTGATCGAGAAATTTATGGAGTCCAGTTCATTAACAATCCTACTCATTTGATCAGTCTGCACACTCCCAGAGGTTATTGCATTATATTTCATGCATGTAAAATTTCTCATAAAGAGTCTCAAAAGAAATGGATAGAAATTGAAGCTCCATTTCAACCCCAATAGAAACTTCTACTATGTTACACACCTGGGCTTTAAGAGCTTCTGCAGTTTCCGTTCCTACATTAATTGTCTCGTGAACAATCTGCCTCAAAGAAATGAAAGTATTAATTATTGCATATGATTAATCAGAAAAGTTGAGAATTTTAAGAGTATGGAATCCCATGTATGATATGTTTATTGCACTGACAATGCAGAGTGACAGATGAAAGATGTGATGATAGACGAGCATTATTTGCACATTTAACTCAACTATATTAAAGTTATTGACAGGACCTTCTGGATGAACTGCATATAGCCATGTACAGTACATTATACATGTTAATTTCATAAAGTTTTAGTATCATTTTCAGAACACACAAAGTTTCTCCAATTCCTTTAAAAGCAAACTGTAACAATTCACATTTTGAGCTGCATTCTTATTCAGATCAGGTAGAAGTTTTTTAAATTCCTCATGGATATGCGCATAAGAGTGTGATAAGACAAAACAGTTTGGTTCTAAATCTGAGATTAAAATGCAAAAAGTTAATCACCAAACCTTTTTTCCTCTATCAATGGCTTGATCAGTTTCATCCATCATTGTGTTTCCACGATCCATCAGCTGCTCATTCGTCATAGCTGCATAATGTACAACCAAGGTTACAAATGTATAAATGATACATGTACTTACAAAAAATTAAAAGGATGAACAATCAAGAGAAAGGTAAACACAAAGAAGAAATTGCCTCGAAAGAGAAGAACTAAAAACTATGGAGTAAAGGTTTACTTTGTCCATGATCAGTTATTATGTGTGAAAATATGCACGTGTGGAATGTTTTTAATCAAAATGATTGACAAATTTCCTACTGACATCAAATTAATGAAAAAGTGGAGGATACTGTTTTGCACAAGCTAAATACAAACTCATAGTTATTAGACTTAAAAGTTGATATAATTTCGCATACAAGATATAAATACATGAAAAGGACGTAGTCCAATGCCTGTTGCATTCATTAAGCTCTAACTTATAACTCTTAATAGTAGAACAATGATGAGACTTGAAAGGTTGAGAATAACAAAAGAAGCCACAGCGGCACAGCCCACCGGAAGCCACATGCCAATAACAGTAGTTAAAGATTACAGCATTTGCTTACTGGATGCTAACAAAACATTTTCTTCTCCTACCCCTTCGCTAGGCCCATCAAATAGTTCAACTCGTTTATTTTCAAGATTGGAAGCATATCTGTTCACAAATTAAATCCAAGTCAGTTATTGAAAGGCTGAATGCACAGAGATTTAACAGCATCTGAACAAGTACAAAAGTGCAGGAAACACCATGACATTGTAAGAATCCTAAATTATGAATTCAAAAAAGAATAATAAGAAAAACAGAATTGAAGGCAAGGTGTTTGCCAAGAACAGGTATATGAGATTTCAATAACCCTCACAAAAAGGGAAACAGAAAAGATATGGAATGTTACAAATGCAAATAAATTTAATAGAAATACCAAGCATGTTGCTCATTTTATAATGAACTTTTAGTCATGGCCTAATTAATGAGCATTGCTGCACAAAGCTACACCCAAGAATTTTTTATTTTTATTTTTTCACTCATGCTTTTCAATACAAGAAAAGCGGAAATTCAAACTCCAAACAAAAACATAAGGATTATGGGCATCATGTCTGTAAATAATTAATCAATTAAATTAACAACCTACACACAAAAAAATCAAAGAAATAAAAATAAAAATGTTCCCTTCATTAAATTAGTCCACAAAGCAATAAATTCTAGCATTACAGAGCATATTTTCAAAAGAAAAGATAACTTATCAGAGAATTCCCACTTTGGTGCCCTAGGGTTTGATATAATTCCACTTTATTGCTTTGTGCTTTCAGTAATTCCACTTTGATTCCCTAAGCCTTTGAAGTTAATTTCACTATGGTGCCCTTTAGTTTGGTAATTTCACTATATATATGCTCATTTTTGTAACTTCTTTAGCCTTATTTATTTGTAAGGAAAAAAATTTGCCATTTATCAATCTCATTATTAAAAAAAATTCTTGAGATGGTTTATGTTTATTTTGTTTTTGACAAAGATGACACTGTATTTAGGCAATTTTCCCATGTCTAAAAAATAGTGGAGGTAATTGTTTATTGAAAAGTAAGAAATGTGAGGACCGAGGAGAGAAATAGTAGTGAATATTTGTGGAGACCATGAAAAATGAGAGATATAATAATAAAACGTAGAGGTTTGCCAAAAAAAAAAAAAGAAGTGTAACACAAAAAAAAAAAAAAAACAAAGGGAGTATGAACAAAAGTTGATTTTATTTATTTACGGAGAAGGAAAAAAAAAAAGGAAATATTTATAGAGATTATGAATGAAAGATATATAATAATAAAATGTAGAGGATTGCCAAAAAAAAGGAAGTGTAACACTTAAGAAAACAAAGGGAGTATGAACAAAATTTAATTTAATATATTTACGGAGTATAAGGGGGGAAAAAAGGGAATGCAAAGTTTGTTTAATAGAAAATAATAATTCTGGTCATACAACAAAATAAATACTTGTATATCTTTAAGAACATGTTCTTAATGAAGTGGCTTGTAAAAAAAAATATCATGTTATTGTTCATACTTCTTCATGTAATAATGTAATTAGGATAAAGAATGTCAGGTGACAATAACTCAGGATGAGAAAGTAGGGGGACTGGTTCAAAAATTCAAGATGGCAACACGATTCATATTTTATTAAGGTATCCTATGATCACATCATTAGTAAAATCAGCTCTCTTTTCACATGTTAATGCAATGCTGCTAGCTGCTATCATCTAAAACAAGCATATAAAAATGAGTGTGGGAAAGGACATACATTAAGGTATTTAATATGGAAATTTTGTCGAAACAACCTTTTAAAGTGTCCACTTTATTTATAACAACCTTTTAAATTTTTTTTTTTAACTTCAAACCACATTATAATTTTTTTTTGTCAAAGACAACCTAATGCTACTTTCCGGCGTTGACTCTATTTTTTCCGGTGTTGGCCACGAGTGTGTGAGGCACATGACCTCTTATATTGCTTAATACACCCCTTTTTCCCTCCAATTAACTCTTATTTAAACCCCTGCTTTTCTCTAAAGTTATCAGAATCTGGGATTTCAAGTTTTCAACCAAGCAATTCATCAATCTCGAACCAGGTATCGTGGTTGCTGTTGTTTAATTGTTTGTTTCTTTTTGTGTAATTGGTGTTTTTGAAAATTAGGGTATCTTTCCCCCAAATTTTTGAAATCGAATTAATTGATTAAGGATTTGTCAATTAAGCAAATGCGCTTGTGGTATCCCTGTTGCTAAGAGGACCTCGTGGACTCATGATAAAATTCTACGCTTGTAAGTTTTACAACCATGGAAATGGTCAAAGGGGATGCAACACGTAAAGCGAGTTACCTGGACTTTTGTATTTGTATTATTCAATAATTGACCCTCAATTTCCTAGAAGATGACACAGCTTTCTTCTTTCCTTTATCTTTAACCAAGGTAGCAAATGTAAAACAACAAAAAAAAAAAAAAAAAAAAAAAAAAGTGAAGAGGCGAAAATAGGAGAAAGTTTGAACCTTTAAACTAAATTGCATAAATGAATTCTTATTGTATTTGGGAATGAACTCTTCATTAATGGAAGTAGCAGCAGTAGAGAAGAATTGCAGAGGGTATTGATGGTGAACTGTGATTTTTGTCTCCAAAATTGAATGAGAGAGAAGTAGAGGTTTTTATTAGAGTTAATTGGAGGAAAAAGGGGTGTATTAAGCAATATAAGAGGTCACGTGCCTTGCACACTCGTGGTCAACATCGGAAAAAATAGAGTCAACGCCGAAAAGTAACATTAGGTTGTCTTTGACAAAAAAAATTTATAATGTGGTCCGAAGTTACAAAAAAAAATTTAAAAGGTTGTTTCTCACAAATTTTCCATTTAATATTTAAATTTATATTTCTGATAGTTATGTGAAGAACGGTCATAATAACGTAAAATAATTTGACTTACTGCTTTTTCAAAGCAACATATGAATTCAGCTCCTTGATCTGCAAAAAACCATCAAAAACATAATCAGTGCTTAAGGAGTGAAGCTAAGAAGACCCCCACCGAAAAAAAATACTTCGTAATAAAGATCACCAGATAGGGAGGAAAAGAAAAAACAAACCTTATGCATCAAAACAATGTTTAGGGTCAGTACTTCACCACAACAATGTACATTTATACCCCTTCCCCATTCACAACTTAGTAGTGAATTTCACTTATTAAACAATACCCAAAAGTAGTGTGGCACAAACCAATTATACCTTCACCTGTTATCTAACCAAATATAAACATCAATGCTTGAAACTACTTTATTTTAGAACATCTAATTATCTAAGACCAAAACACCTATGCTTTAACATTAAAGAAACATAAGTAAAGATGTCTATGGTCTAACCATAGACTGTTTTCTCTCATTCAATGTCTTGCTTGTGTTTGGATCATTCCTGCTTTCCAAATTCTTCACCTCTCGATCAAACTCTTTAATAAGCCTGAGAAATAAATCAGCTTCAGTTGAGCAAGAAGGACTAAGAGGAGGCAGAGCCCATAAGACTCATTCTTAAGCATTGGCACATCATTAACATCAGATAAACTTCCTTTAAGAAAGACAGGTTACAGACTAACACAGAATGCACATTTATTATCAATGAATGCAAGATTTAGCCAAGTTCACCATCAGGCTCATTAAGCAGATATCCTCCTCACAATTCACCCTGAATTTGAATAATCAACTTTATCCACAACACTAATGATCTAGATGCTAGCTGCTGGAGAGTTGTGAAAGCAAATATACGTATTTGTGCTCATCATGCATAAAAATTCCATAAAACCAAACTGCTAATGCCATCTGTTGATGATAAACTGTAAGTTTTTTGTTTGAGCCAACAACACTATTAGGTTCGACAAACCAATGGTGAGAAGAAGGTTACATTGTTAGAGTAGTTCGTGGTATGCATGCTATTCTTACTAGATGAAACAAATATAGATTGCCCATATGGAAAAGAAAGTTCAGACAACTACCTTTTACACTCTCGCATCTTATCCGTGAGCTCTTCCAGTTGTCTGCTCTGTCTACTGGAATCCTTGATCTTCTCCAACTTCTGAAACCCATTTCTGTTTCAAAGATATAATCAAACAAAAAGTTGACACAACTGTTCATTGCTAACTACATCTATAACTCTATAAAATTAACACAAAACTGAATAGATGAAAGACAACCACAAACATAGGACATGCGTAAATAGATCAGCAAAAGAATATGCAGCCAGTTAATTGATTTCTAAAATTTCAATGCAGTCATACCAAGTGCATAGTATAAGCAAGAACATTCCCTAATATGCAGTTGAAAAGTCGCTGATAGTAGAATTCTCAGGAAAGGAAGAGCTAAAAGTGTATCAGTCCAAAAGTTGTATACCAGCCCCTATGCAACATATCAGCAGAAACATCTTGATTTGCAGCTTGCAACACTAACCATCCCCAAGTTGCACATGACCAAAACACATCAGTTATTACGGTCAAGACGAAAAGAGACACATGCAGGCTGATAAGCCCAATATGATTAATACACGAATCATGCCACATTAACCACAATACTTAATGCAACACTAGAACTAAATATGCTTTAGCTGTGCATCATCATTACTGCAATTGATCCAAGATTTTCAATTATTCGTTAATTCCATATTACCTTAATTCTACTTGAATGATTAAAGCAAATGCACGGATGTCTTACGAGCAGTAAAGAAAACAAACAGATACTAGATTTAGTTACTTGGAAAAGCAATTCACTTCATTTGAAATCCCTTTCCTAGTAAAAATCATCACTACCACTCTCCCTTCTCCCTCTCACCCAATAAAAAGCAAAAGCTGGTAAGGCTCAATTCATCAAGTTTTCAGAAATATTCGACTCTTAGATATCGGAAAGCTTTCATCCTTGGAAAGCTAAGTAATTTCCCCTAAACAGATGACAACCAAATGCCCCATCAAAGCTAGTTATAAGGTAAAGCAATTAACTCCAATCGAAAAATGGCGAAAAATCATCCCTATTCGCCATTATAAGCAATACATTCTTCAAGAACCTAACTAACACTTTACAAATCTCTCTGCATAAACTTATTACAGTATATAAATTACACATCAAAATATCAGGCAACTGCACCTTGTAAGCAACGAAAACGAAGCGCTGATTAAATAACCGACGCTTATATTAGATGAAACAAAAGACTGCTAAGAACAATTCACAATGCAAAAATTCATCAACTTAGATTATTTAGAACACAACATAATCAAACTTCGCAACATTGGAAAAAAAAAAAAAAAAAAAAACATAAATCTTACGATAATGCACGAAAAATATCATTGATTTGTCCATCAATCTCGCCGAGCTCCTCGCTAATCGCCGACAACGACGACATTGTCAAATTCCTCAAAATGTCAACTCGTTTCTCCTCTTTCTCTCTCTTACTCCGTTGTTTGTCGAATCAAATGACAAACAAATGTTCAACAAAAATGCAGATTATCTCGCCATTGTTGATCAAAATAAAAATCGAGCAATGATGAATGTCAAATTTTCAAAAATTTGAAGCGGCAATTGTAATCTAATTGAATCTGATTGTTCAGGTAAAATTGAATTTTTGTTTTGGTGGACCAAAAATTGGGGGAAATTTAGGATGAAAACAATGTAGGATTTGAAAGATCGAAATCTAGGGTTTTGAAGATCTAATCGTTGCGTTGTAATAATAATTTAAGGACAGAGAATTTGAAAATGGAGAAGGTGTTTTTCTCTCTCCTGTTTTCCTATGTTGTTTTGTGCTGGTCTAATTTCCATTGATTTTCAAGCTATTTTCTGTAATTTGTTATTTACTCCGTAATATTTTTTAAATTATTTTGTTGGAGCGAGAATTGGGCCGATTAATCCGCTGTAGAGTGCTGCAGCAACTGTAGTGAACTAGTGACTATTGTCTACACCATTAGTCCATTAGGCCATTACCCAACTTAAACATGCACCACTCCTTAAGTCCTATTCTTTCCGAGCTACAGCGAACTGAAACGATCTAAATTGGGGTTTTTTTTTTTTTTTTTTTACGAACTGAATTGTATAATTAATGACTCGTTTTAATGATGTTGCATCTCATCTTGTGCATTGAGTAATCAATTGTGCAAAATGTGTTCTACCTCCCTTCTTTTTTGTTATTACTATTCATTGGGTCAAAAAACAAAAATTTTGACTGTCTATTGCTACTTATGTATAAATCAAAAGTTATCACATGTAATCTTATTAGAATTGTTTCACTGTGTAATTTCTAAATATCAATTTTTTCATAATTTATTTATTGTAGTATGTAATTAAAGATATAGTTGGTTAAACATACGCATTAGGAAACCACACAAAATGAAGTTATATGTCATTATACTCATTAAGCTTGGACATCTTAAATTCTTAATTTGGAGTTATTAACTTATTATTGTGTAGAAAATTAGGAAGAGTGATGATAAAATTAATATGCAAGATCGTAAGATAAAATATTTGAGAATTAAGGCAGGTAATTTAATTTAATGCTAGTCACAAGATTAATGGTTAAAATAAACCGACATTAGTGATGGAGAAGAGAGGACATAGGTAGTACTTAGTCACTTTTGTTGAGTTGGTCCTTTAACAATACAGATTAAGTCATATTTATTTACAATCTTTATATGGATATATATACTCCGTATATAGAAACGTTAGTTAGGCATTTGAATAAGCATATTAAATAAAAATATACGAGGTATAAAAATTAGAGGTTATATCTTAAATAATTTTATATTGAAAATATTTTTTTTTTTGTAAAAGGGAAAGAGTATCTACTTTACACTATATCGTTATTAAACATTTAAACCAAAATCAACATCTTTTTTTTTTTTCTTAAACAAAAAAATAATAGCAAATAAAAAAAAAATCAACTGTTTTTTCAGGGAATAAATTCAACTTAATCAACTATGATGTACTTGTACTTCTTAAGAATCTTTTGGCATTACTTCTACGTTAGGTAAATCAGGCTCATATGTACTTGGTAACTTTTATATGTAAGTTGTTACACTTATTAGATCAAACCAGGCATTATTGTTTGGCATTATGCAACAAATAAAAAATACGAGTAGAACCAAACAAGGAAAAGACTAGTAAAGTCGTAATATAAAACTAACATAGCAGTCAGCAAAAATGCATCCTCTCTCTAGCTTTCTTTTTCTCTCTCGAGAGCATCAAGGATCTCCCTCTGCCTTCTGTCTCAATTTTTTTGTTTTTACAAGTGTTTGGTCGTCACGTTCTCTGCTTTGTCCTGTCCTGTTCCTTTTCTGGCTTTTATTTTCTTTTTCTTTCGGTTTTTCTGTTTTGATGGATGTCAATGCAATTGTCATGCACTCTACAAATGATGATGCTGCGGGTGCTAAGGTACACCAAGTCAATGATTCTACCATGTCTGATGCTACGTTAGCGTTAGGTATAGGTGATACTTCTGTAGGAAATGGTGATGTTGCTATCACTAATTCTGAGCTCATCTCTACTGATGTCTTTATGGATGAGGTTTCTAACCCTCAAGGATCTATCGATCTTACAAAGCCTACATTTTGAGAGGTTGTTAAAGCTTCGTCTCAATGGTTTGCTGTAATCCCCCGTAATTTTGTGAAATTTAAAGTTATATTTTAACATATTTATGTGAATATTTAATTATGATTATTTATTTACATAATTTATTTTACTATGATTTAAGCAAATAAATTTAATGTTTAAAAAGTTAATAAAATTATTTCATTAAATTATTTCACTACCCATATCTTTTAATCATGAATTATTATGCAAGTCAACTCATTAATTACTAAGCCTATTCTTTTATCTAAAACCCACTCAATTTAAGCTCAAGTAACAATTCTAGTTTTATTAGAACTAGGAAACCCAAAACCCCACTTTTTATTATTTAAACCCACCTAAAATTTTCCACCTTTTTACTCCAAAAACTTCATTCAACTTGCTGCTACTACTGCCTTCTTCTTCTTCCCATTCACGATCAAACCCACAAAAATAAATAAATAAATAAATAAATCTGCTTGCTGCCCGGCGACACCAGCCACCACCACGCCACCATTGCTGCTCCGGCGTCCACCGCGGCCCCCTCCTCGACAGCAGTTCGCCCCTCTCTCCTTTCTCCCTCTTGTTTTCTCTTCTTTTGTTAATTCAACCCAAGTTTAAACCTTTATCAATTTTTTTATTTAATTGTTATTATTATAGTTTGATTATGTATATGAATTATAAAAGATTATAAATTTATGAGTTTTATTATGTTTAAACTATAAAATAAAATTTCAGATTTATTTAGTTAAGAAAATTAGGGCTTAAAACGGTTAGTTTTCATGTTTTAGGGTTTTAAACGTGTTGCTTAAGTTATTTAATTAAAGCATGATTATAGTGTAAGTCTACTATGATAATTGATGACGTTAAATTTAAAAGCAAATTTTCAGTTTTCCATAATCAACTTTGATCTCCGTTCTTAATTTTTTTAATCATGTTTAGATTCTAACTCGTCCGATTTTTACAAAAAAAATAGTGTTTTTCGTGTGTAAACGACGTTTTAATTCAGCTTCTAAATATGGTTTTCGGGCAGTTTTTGATTTTTAACGAAGGTTTAATGTTTGAAATAAATTTTCAGATTTTTATAAAGCTCTAAGCTTGCTATAATTTTATGAATAAGTATGTATTTTAATGTTTTTATGTAGGAAATTTTAAGAATAATATATAAGCTTTTAATTCTAGCAAAAAGGAAGGTTTTAAAGTGTTGTTTAATTGAATTTTGAAGGTTTGATTGAGTTTTTATGAAACTAATTGAATTCTAATTATATATTTCAAGTATAGATTGTTGCATTCATACATTCTACTATTAAAGTAAATTTTCAGATTTTTAATCTTGGTTTTAAAGGTTTTAAATCATGTTTCCATGATGGATTTTTAGGTTTTTAAAATACTAACCTACTATATAATGATTATTTAAAGTAGAGATGATTATGAGGTTGTTTTATATTCTTAAACTAAATTTCCAGATTATAATTCTTACTTTAAAGTTGCTGGAATTTTATGTTATAAGTTATATTTTCATGATTTCAACATATAGACTTATAGTTGAACTATTTAATTATTAACTTTGACTACTGTGAGTAATTTAAAAGCATTATTCCAATGGTTTAAGGGGTTTTAAAGTAAGTTAGTATTGTTGTAAATTATATTGCTTGGGCATTGATTGAATTATTATTGTTTGGTTTAGCAGAGGACTTTGTAGAAGGCGATTTTTAGTTCCTAAAGTGGTCAACCAACTCGTTTACTCAATGTACGTACAAGGATACGAAAACTTTGACTCTAGAAGCATGTTTAAGGGCTTGGAAGACTTAGAATCATGTTAGGAAACTTGTAGATTGGTTGGAATTGTATGGTAGTAAGTTTGATTGGTGAATAATGTGATGATTGGTTTTGTTTCATGTATGAGAAATGCGTATTAATTTATCTTGTAAGTATTATTTATGCATTAACTTGCAAGATGAGCTTAGAGGCAAAGGTACGTGAATATGTGGAATGAATTATTTTATTACTCGTTCATGATTATTGAAGTGGAACGAGTAAAGGGAGAATTAAAGTCTTATAAGACGAGGTTGGGGATTGAGGTGCCTTATGCACTTAAGGTGTTTATACACCGAGGTAATTAAATGATTCAAAACTAAATATTGTTTGTCACTAATAAATCAAAAATTGAATTGGAAATTTGAATTGTTTGAATGATTGATGTATGATTGGTTGTATTGTTTTGCATTGAGTCATCACCTAGTTTAAACTTGTAAATCACGTAAAGTGCAATATGGATGAACAATAAAACTCTGGATTTGTGCACATCTAGAGTATTGATGTAACACCCCCAAAATTCGGGTCATTGTAAACAATAAGAGTAACCCTTTTCTTTCAAAACCTACCATCGAACCTTGGGAGTGTTACTGCTACACTTATTTTTCATAGAAAATAAATGCAAAGCAAAACGAAATACCATTTATAACTAAGTAATCTAAGTGGCGACAAGAATAAAATAGTCGTTACATCCAAACTGTAAAACATTTTAAAACATTAAATAAAAGAAAAATAACTAAGTTCATAATTAACTAAATTGTATTAGCTACGTGATTATTCTAACGTCTCCTCACACGTAACCGAGTGCCCTTTTTATCAACCTGCAAAATGAATCAGAAACAAGAAAAGAGAGGAAACTCCCAAAATTAGATAAACTGAGTAATTCCAACTCCATCCCGTAAAATAATAATTTTAGTTTGAAAAATATTTATACAAGACAATTTTATCGACATTATAATAAGTTAAAATCAAGTTGTCACGTAAACATTATTACTTTAGTTAAGAAAGGGAAAGAGAACGCCAGTAAGCCGGGACTAGTCCCTGTCACCACCTACTTTACAGAGGGTCGCGCGTAACTCTAAATGGCCATAAATTAAATAGAATGTCCCTAGTGTACACACCCCTCACTAATACCCATTGATTAGGAGGAAGACTATACAGCAATATACGTCAATTTAAACCAACTAGTAGCAACCATAACCACTAGTGGGCAACCTGTTCTTCACCCTTTCGGGTTTCATTTCCCTTCTTAATTTAATGTATATATTAATAGATTAAATTGTCCGATCGCATTGCACACGAGTATTGCACAAAATCAATTTAATCCCAAGTAACAATATTTTAACTTCAGTATTTTTAAAACATAGTCAAGACATGCTAGTTACAACTCGTATTTCCAATAGGCCTTGGAGACCATCAATCACATATAATCAATCAT